ACACACAGTATTATATTTATTTAGTGGATTTTAGAAATGGATAAGTATAAATAAATAAATAATATATATAAATTAACATCTTTATGTAACTTGTTATAAATAAATAAATATATATAATAATAACTGTAGTTGTCTATTTGCATATATATGTGCACGCACACACACACGTATAATTTATATATATATATATATATTTGTATAGATTTAGATTTATATATACATATAATACTGAAAATATGTGGGTGTGGGGGATTGTTTGAGCATGTCTTCTAGTTTGTGTATGCGTTGCGTACATGTTTTGTATGGTTGTTTTGTTTATGTTTTGTTTTTTGTTTCTGGACCCCCTTGAAAATGAGATGTCACATCTCAAGGGGCTATCCTTTCAATAAATTCAATTCAATATCTATCTAGCTATAAAGAAATATAGTGTGTGTGTGTGTGTGTGTGTGTGTGTATATATAATGTGTAATTTATATCTATAGATTTATATATACATATAATTTAGTTATACAGATAGAAATGTGGGGATTGTAGAAATGAATAAATTTATATAAATCAAAAAATACTGCATATAAATTAATATCTTTCTGTATGGATGGATAAATGTAAAAAAAAAATACAGTTATTACATTAATATAAATTATATATAGATATGTCAATTATACAATTACACATTATAAATTGCAAATTTATATATATGTGTGTGTGTGTGTGTGTGTGTGTGTGTGTGTACTTTTTTCCCCTGGGTGTGTGAATAATTTATTTCTGCCTCATAATCCTTTGATTATTTCTGTGGGAGTGTCCTGTGAATTATTTTAGCATTTAAAGGTGTTGTGCTCATTATTTCATATCTTAAGCACTATTCATAACACTTTTGAAGAATTGCTTCAGAAAAGCCAAACTGCTTCAGATGTTTGGCACGTGAGTGTATTTTGTGTACCAGAGAAAAATAGTTCCCTTTCAAAACAAAATCAAGTCTTTTAAATGCGCCGTCCCTCTGGGAGCAGCTGTTTAGACAAAAACACTTGCGCAAATGAAGGGGAAAGGGGAAAGATCTTAGTCAACTTCTCCATTTCCAGCAAACTTTTCTGCTGGAGTGCATTAAACATCAGTGACAGCGTGTTCAGTGTTCAGGTGCTGACCGCAGTCATCATGTTGGCAGATGCTGAGTCCAGACGGAAGAGGAAGGTGGCGGAGATCACGCAGGCCCTGAACAGGACGCCGGTGGATGTGGCCGCTCTGAGACGCATGGCCATCAGTGAAGGAGGTCTGCTGAGCGACGAGATCCGCCGGCAGGTGTGGCCCAGACTGCTCAACGTGTCTGTAGAAAACATACCTGAACAGCTGGGTAAGAACCACATCAAATCACAGGAAGCTGACTTTCTGAGATGCTGAGAACAAAACAAAACATAAATATAATTTAATGCGATTTCATCCAACTAAAAAAATATTTTTCATTCTCTCACACTGTAATGTGAAAAATGTATTATTATTAATGTTGTTATAATTAAATTATAAATTATAAAAAATATAATCTACATATAATTTATTATATATAATTTAATTATATTATTATTTATTTACGTTTTAAATATTCATGCAATATTTATACATATAATTTATTAAATGTACTTCAATTATATTAAATATTATTTACATTTTTAAATATTTATACATATTTTATGGTCAAGATAATCTAGCATAATTCACTCATTCTGTTGATTCACTCATTATATTGAAAATATTTTATTATTATTTAATTATGAAATATAATCTACATGTATTTTATGAAATATTTAATTTATATTTTTTATTTACATTTTAAAATAATTATACATCTTTTAATGTTGAAGATAATTAAGCAGTTACCGTAACCAAAATTCTTATTCTCATCACTGTAATGTGAAAAAATATATTATTATTATTAAATATAATATACTGTACATATCATAATGTAATTTGCATTAATTATTTACATTTTAAATTATTCATACATCTTTTATTTATGTTTAAGATAATCAAGTGCAATTACCTTCAACAAAAAAAATATAATTCTCATCTGTAATGTGAAAAATATATATATTTTATCCATTATTATTATTATTATTATTATTAATTGTTATTATTAATTATTATTAAATGTACATGTAATTTAAGTATAAATTAATTATAATATTTACATTTTAAAATATTAATGCACATCTTTTATTTAAACATTTCTTGTATATGCCTTAATTTATGCTGATAAAGGGGGAATAAAGCAACATGCCTGAACAACTAGGTAATGAAATCCATGGAAATGCACTTCATGAAAGCCATGTACTGTAGATGTACATCCAGTGTTTATTTCCAGAGCCGGTCGATCGAGACAGTAACAAGGACTTCAACCAAGTGCTTCTAGATGTTCAGAGATCCCTCAGGCGCTTCCCTCCAGGTGAGCAGAACGGACCTCCGCTGCTTCTTCAGGACCCTCAGCTGGTCTCGGTTCATGTCTAAGCTGCTCTCTGTTTGTTTGCGGTGTTTAATGAACGCAGGGATGCCAGACGAGCAGCGGGAAGGCCTTCAGGAAGAGCTGATCAATATTATTCTGCGGGTGCTGGTGAAAAACCCACAGCTGCACTATTACCAGGGTTACCATGACATCGTGGTGACCTTCCTGCTGGTGCTGGAGGAACGACTCGCCACTGCCCTGGTGGAGAAACTCTCCACTCACCACCTCAGGTGGGCCAGCAGCAGAAAACAAACACGGCAAGAGCGTGTTTGTGACACTTTACCAAAACACAGACGCAGCATGTATTTATTTATTTATTTGTGTACATTTTTGCTGATTTTTATTCATTCTGAAATTATGTTCAGCTTAATCAAGCGCTATTCTTGCCAATAAAAATTAGCATTTTAATTTTATTCAGTATTGTTTAAAGGGGTGGTTGATTGCGATTTAATTTTTTTTAATGACTTCACCCCATAAACACAATCAAGCCTAGAAAAAACCCAGTGAACCACCCCTTTAAATATTAAAACATTTATATATTTTTTTCAAGATCAAGAACAATGACCTTCAACAAAGAAATATCATTACTGTAATGTGACAAATACATATCATTATTATTATTAAATTTAATGTGCATATATTAAATATAATTTAATTAGTTTCATTATTGCAATACATTTTTCATTTATGTTCAAAATAAAAACATCCTATCACTGTAAAAATATATTATTATTATATGTTGTTATTATTATTAAATATTAATATAATTAAATTCTATTTACGTTTTAAAATATTTATACATAAATAGTTTATTTATAAATTTCTTACATGGGCAGTAATTCTGAAAATAAATGGAAATAATATGACATTTTTTCAGTTACTGTATTATAGAAAAGACAAAACATTATCTTGAAATAATTGTTTGTTTTAATGTCTAGTAGATATTTTTCATCCATCTAACCTACATTACAGGGACTTTATGGACCCCACTATGGACAACACCAAACACATCCTGAACTACCTGATGCCCATAATCGAGAGGGTCAACCCTGAAGTGTACGACTTCATGCAGCAGTGAGTAGACGCCCATTTTCTGTGATGTGTTGGTTTGGTTTGTATGTTTGTCTGTGTTGAAGCACAGTGGTTTGATTGATTTGTTTTCCTCATTCATCATTATATAACTTTAAAAGCATCTCCTGAAAGAATGATGACAAACCTTCTTTATTGACTTGTATAATTTGAGATAAGTGTCTTTATTTTGTCTGCAGAGCCGAGGTCGGCACCATTTTCGCTCTCAGCTGGCTCATCACCTGGTTCGGACATGTACTGTCAGATTTCCGTCATGTGGTTCGGTTGTACGACTTCTTCCTGGCCTGCCATCCCCTCATGCCCATCTACTTTGCTGCTGTGGTACGTTTCCATTTGTTGTCCTCAAAACCATCTTCCTAATCTTTGAGTCTCTGATGTTCCGCAGATGTGGGTCAGCAGTTTCACTGCCGCCGCAGTAGCAGCTGTTTTTAGGGCTGAATCAGGCTGTGTTGATCAGTCGGAATAAATAATTGACACATTCTGTCATGTCAACACTATTTGTCTTTTGAACAGTAAAGTACTGTGTTCTGCCTCCTGCAGTCTCCATAAACCTGGAGTTTTGATGTTTGACAAGAAGTAGGTCAGGGACTAAGTACTAATAGCTTTATATAAAGTGAATTTCACACCAAAAAAAAAAAAAAAA